TAAATCAAGGAAGACCATTATTTTCGGACGCCGATAAGCATGTCTGTGTTCTAGAACCTGACGAATGGTGAATATGTGGTCGATGCAGCCACGACCAGGTCTGAAGTCAGCCTGATTCTCTCGTGTTTGCAGTTCACGAGTCTTAGTTAGGCGTCCGAAAATTATCGAAGTTAGTATTTTAGATACTGTAATAGTCAAACTAATCCCTCTATGGTTGTCACAGGATGATTTTGACCCTTTCTTAAATATTGGGACGATAAGTGATTGTGACCAGTTAGATGGGATAACGTCCAACTCCCAGATTTCAGCTAAAATATTAGTCAACCTAGTCGCTAAAATTGGACTATCATCCTTAAAGACCTCTGGGGCCAATCCATCTGGACCAGCTGCCCTTCCTCGTTTCAGATTAGCTATAGCCTTTTGAACTTCAGCTAGATTTGGGGGACCTACTTCAATGTTCCATTCACACTGTCTGGGAATGGTGGGTAGTTGTAGAGTAGCTGAAGGCCAGCTGTACTTTTCTCTAAAATGTTCCGCCCATCGTTCTAAACGTCTGGACTAGGAGCAGATAAGAACGTCGTCTTTTTCCGAGACAGTCTCACTTACACCTGACATTTTAGTTCCAGTTTCTTTTATGGGTCTGAAGAGCTGTCTAATGTTACCTATAGCTGCCGCCTTTTCCATCTCTTTTGCTTTCGTTGCCCATCATTGCTCATGATCATTCCTTAAACTTTGGGTTAACCTAGATCTGATTTGCTTTCGCTCATCATCGTGTTCAGAGCCTGATGGGATGAGTGCAATAGACCTTGAAAAATCCATTGGTTCTTTGTAACCTTTTGGTTTAAATCACTAATAGATGTCACAGCTGTTTGTATATCTTTCCAAGCAACATGGTCAGAGTCCAAACAGGTACTCCAGAATCAGCGACAATCTTCTATCGACCCTCTCCAACGATGACTGATGGCAATATGGTCTATTTGAGTCCATCGTTGATATGGTGCAGGGGGTCGCCATATTAGACGGTGTCTCTCCTTATGCTTAAAATTTGTGTTTGCTAAAAATAAACGGTTGTCTGAGCACAGTTGCAACAGACGATCACCATTATCTGTTCGCTGTGCCGGAATACAAAAATACCCACCAAAATATCTTTCTGCTTCGTTTAAGCTACCTACCTGGCCATTAAAGTCACCTGCTACGAGTACTATGTCTGAACGTTTAGCTTTCTGAAGAAGTTCAGAGAGTTTTCCGTAAAATTCATCTTTCACTTCATCCGAGCTGCAGTCAGTGGGAGCGTAGGCAGAAACGACGAAAGGGCATCGACGTGTGTCCCTATCATTCCGAGTTCTTATGGAGCCGTTTAGCCGAGCAGCGCATAGACGACTGTTAACAGGGACCCACTCTAATAGCGCTTGTTCCGCCCTCATGCTTAGTGCTATGACTACACCTGCCAGTCCACGAGAACTATCCATCGGGTCGCCAGATACACGGAGGGTGTATCTCGTTGGCTCTCCGTTTTACCAAGGTGAGGTTAAGTGAATGACCACGCTAGGATCCTGTATGCGTGTTATACAGGAAAGACCAATGTAGATAAATTCGACAACTTATTAATTGGTTTGTTGTGTTCCCATTCTTTCCAAAGTTGGTGTAGGTCAATTTTTGAGTGCAAAACAGACATCACCTAGGCAGTTCTGTGCTGAATTTAATAATGTGATTTAAATTCTGCATCAATATTGCTAGATATTTCTACGTTATAAAATTCACTGACAGATAGATCAGCCAGAACCAAATGGATTGAGCTGCACGGCCAGTATCGAAACCTCATAGCTTATCTCGAGTTCCCTGTTTTCTCAGCCACGGTTGTGTCAAATTATTGTAGAAATGAAAAGACAGAATGTTATATAGTCACGAGATTTATGTTATTTTTTATGAACCGAGATTATTATCAATCAATATCCATCATGATGAACAGCACCAGCCACAAAAATGAAAGCAACTCCTCATTTAGCATGCTATTACTAGATTATAGCACCTATCTTACGATTAGGTTTATTTATGGTTACTTTTACCAAACCTTCCAATTAACTTAGTTAACAGACAGTGTTATGAGAATATATGTCTATTTCATTATATTGTTATTACTATCATTACGTCGACTCTGAATTCGATTACACTAAACTTTCTGTTCAAATTCGCTTGTAGCATTGTGATTTGTGCTATCCAAAGATAAACTGCAGTAGGCACTTCATGTTGTCTTCTGAATCCATACATCGTTAAAATTTATCATTTAATGGTTATCTGGGTTATTGATATACGAAAGCTAAAGAATTATCTCAAAGCCAAGACACTAAAAAATAACTATTGTCAGTGCATTAGCTACTAGAGATCTTCGACCAAAATAGGTTACAGCCGTTTAAAATTCTCAAAGCGTTGTAGGCTCAGTATCATTCATTCATCTAGCTGATATATTTGGGTAGACAGATTATTTGAAGTTCAATTTAACTGTTCTGGTAAGTAATTTACTAATTGTTCATATCCCTTGATTTGAGAGTAGATAACCAACACGTCTTCAAGGTAAGCGTTACCAACGTTTGATTTTCAAAACCTGTTTACTTTGAGTCTCAGCAAATGTTTCTTATGATGTACTCCTTACTGAATCCAACAGGAGGATTACGGCATGTCCAGAGATCGAGGCAAACATACAACTCACCACAAGAAGTCTGTTGCTGAACGATATGAGAGCACTAGAAGATGTCAACAGTACAACTGACAGAGACTTCCATCTAAGTACTTTATACTCACAATATTAAGATACAGTTTCTTTTTATCTCCAGAATACAATAACGCGACAAATTCAAGCATATTTCATCTACTTTGATAGGGCCATTACTAACTTCATAAATACTAAATGGACAGCTTCAATTTAGTACTAAGATCTCCTAAGTTAGTTAGCTAGCTAGTTACAGTTAGATTGTTAAACAAAATTAGTAGTCTACTTATAATCGACAATCATCAAAATTGAAAATCATTCTTATACGTTGGAAAAAATAATATCTTATCAGAAACCGACAAGCAAAGAAACTAGTTATGCAGCTATGAGTGAAAAAGGTTTGTTACAGTTAATCAATAACAACAGCTGTGGTGATAAATATGTATGAAAAAGGCTTTAAATAAATGAGTCCGAGAAAAGTTATCATAAAAAACCACTAGATATCAACTAGATCCTTATAGAATGTTTGTTACCCAAAGTATTACCGCTAATGAATATTTATGAAGACATTTTGAGCAACCATACAAGTATTCGATTGTTTTTAATGAGTTCTTTACTCAACAAGCGCATGAAAGAAGACAAACAGATTAAGGTGTATTGTATTGACTTCTTAATGAGTGTAAATACACGATTACCAGTGTATTCACTATTTGTTGGTAGTAGATTTTTCAAAAGTTAATGGTGCCAAGTATTTTAACAAAGTAGATTGAACGGATACATAACTGGAAGTGGGAGTACGCTATTTATTAAAAAAGCTTTTGGAGCTCAAGGTCAAAATGGGTTTGAATCAGTGCCGATAATTACATTTTGATGACTGAAAAGAACCAGTTACTTTTCAATGAATCCTATACCCACTAAACGAGGTGTTGAAATGGACTTACTTTGTATGAACACCAAGTAATAACCACATAAGTTCAATTCACAAGAAAATGGGTGCTTTTCCGTGCAATCAACCTAATATCTTTATATATATATATTGATCGAACCTAGAAATAATACCTGAATTTGAGGTTAATTCACGAAAGTAGCAGAATATCAGAAAAAGAAACTATAAAAGAGGCACACATGGAATTATATACAAAACATTTATTGCTCAGCGATATAACCAAGTAGATCGGTAAAAAGAGCAACAGAAGAAATCAACAATACAATTAACAGATATTACCGGATGACAGTCTTTCAGACACTTCCACTGAAATACTTTATCCTAACAATACTGGGATACAGTTTCTTTTTATCTCCAGAATACAATAACGCGACAAATTCAAGCATATTTCATCTACTTTGATAGGGCCATTACTAACTTCATAAATACTAAATGGACAGCTTCAATTTAGTACTAAGACCTCCTGGCCTTTTGTACAAACAGTTTATACTCTGTCAGTAAGAACTAACAACCATAAACCGTTTCGCTATACTATGCGAAAAACAGCTAACAACCTATGCACTTCAAATGTGAATGACAATATTAAAATGAGTTCTACGTAAACACACACCAAAGTTATTTAACAATAAACAAGACCAGGCTACATTTATTGTAAAAAATTAAATGGGTCATCTTGATCAAATTTGATGTCAGTGATACGAATGTTAACTTATGTTGTATGATGAAAGTATTTCATTTCATTGGCAGTGAATTATTTAGTATGAATAAATAAATAAAATATCCAAAACCAATGTGCAAACTCGTTTAGAAACATAGTGAAGTAAAAATTCACATGGTATCAAAAACCAATGGAATAAATACTTGTGTAAATTCATTCACAAATCGGTCGACTTTATAGTTACTTCAATATTATAAATAAACAAATCATGACAGTTGATTTATACAGACATTAGTCAATATTTGAATAAATAGAAGTTATGATCGGAGTATATAGAAGATATTATTTTCAAAAACTGTTCTTAAAATAATGGCAGAGATGGAAATGACATTTAACTACGCCTAAATTATCCTTGAATTGCTGACAATCCCACACCTAGGAAAAGTAGGAAGTTTGTGTGTAACCTCAAAAACCCTACCCCGCGAAAATACACTAATCAACCTACTTACACTCTGTCATGGAAGTTCAAGAATAGGATACATCTTCCAGATCAACAATTTGAATTTTGTAAGTTCCGACCAGGTTCTTAGTAAGTGTGCAAACTACACAAGTAACACACTACTCTCAATGACAAGCAAAGTTCTCAACAGTGTTACTAAACGGAGTAACTTCAAATCAACATTTTGAAATTCGTAAGGTTCGATCATTTATATATAAGCAAGTGAGTAAGATAAATCAAAGATATCCAACTAACATAAACGTTTCCGCACATATTAAAAGTACTGGTTTTCGAAAAATGAATGAAAGCAACATGAGGGAAAAAGTAATGTCCAACGCTCAATAGAATACTGTTACACAGAGGCGTAAAATACACTCTCTTTTAGTGTGTTCTTTATATTTACATAAAGATCGACACAAATACACATACCCACATAAATGAAAGAAACACTGCTTCTGAATAATTAAGTAAAACGATTATAAAATACTTAGTTTACACACAAATTGTGAAAATCATTAGCAAAAAAGATTACGGTAATTATGCGGTCATTCGCAGTGATCACAATATAAATTGTAACTGAGTTTGGCATGAACATCCAAATCTCCTGACTAAGGCAATTACTGAGACACATCAAACTATCTTTAAATCTGCAATTTGTTCATATAATGTTGGAAAGTTCCACAATACGAGATTACCATCTCGACCAACTGAACTGAGTTCTGAAGCCATTGAACGATCACCTTTAAGAATTCGAATTTCACTGAAGTTCCGAGTAGACAAAAAAAAATAACAGTTTAACGAGTCATAAAAAAGTTTTGAAACCTATGTAAACTAGATGTGAAATTTAGGTGACAAGTTTATAAACTGAAAAAATGAAAAGCCTTACATAAAACCCAACGAGACATGGCACTGTTTTCGTGATATCTATAACTTGTTCAAATAGTCTTGAAAAAATGAAAGCTCAAAGGAATGAGAAATTAAAATAACACAAATAAGCGGCTCAAGATCTTGGTTAGCCCCAACCAAAAATGAAACGAAGTCGATTTATATTTTTTGTAAGTTTCAGATTCATTCTGACGAAAAAGTATCCGAATCTCTGATCTATTTCAACTGCAGATAAAAAATGAGTGCTATTCATTTACCCTTTACCAGCCTGCTTACAAATATCTCTTCGAACTAATTAAATGTTTAGTCTTTCTCACTATATTTCCTACTGCATCATTTCGATTCCTGCTATTTAACTCGTTGATTTTATTTCGTTGTGCTAATGTGGTATGGGAAACAAAAAAGCCATGACAAACAACGGAAGCTACTTTTGAGGACGTCATTTCACTTATTTCAAAGCTTGTAAAATACTAACATTCAGTCTTGTCCCCAGTTCATTCTACAAACCAAAGGCTTTCGTTTGATGTATGATTCACTGTCGTACCCTTTTTTGTTCCAAAGTTATTATAATTTAAACGTAACCTTTAGTATTCTATTTTTCTTACTCTAATATCTAGTTTTGGACATAATTGTATTTTCTAATTATCAGTGCGTCTTGGTCATGTTAGTCATATATATTATTCATGTACCTGAACCGGAGTGTGAATCGGAATCGGAAAATTGAATAGTGCTCCAGCTGACTCGTCTTCACTCACTTGGCAACTATCAGGTAATAGAACAGTTTCCGTCTCTCTATCCAAGGCAGTTGGTCTCACTTCCAACTCACGCGATTCTAGCCTCACGGTTGAACCAGTAAGCCTATAGTATCAAAGCTTTAATCTAGATTGAGACAAGTTACCTTCTGTATATTAGTGGATAAACAGATCAAACATGTAACACTACCACTATACAAACTTCAAGCAATCAGTCATATGCAACATGGAACCTAGCATATATGTGAATCGGTCGCCACACCAAATCAGCACAGTGAAGTGAAATTATCAAGGTAAATAAAGCCCAGAAAAAGCAGAAGTAACGACAGTACCAGTAGTAGTATAGAAGTCCAGGAGTAGAAGATATGATTCTAGAGGGAAATTTGAGTTTGTGAAACGAAAGAAAATCACAAGATAACTTAGAAACCCAAGATCTAAATGGAAATAACGAGCGAATCTACATTCCTCATTGGGGAAAATTCTTATTCACATCACTCAGTTTCTAATCACTGGTTACGAAATCCGAGCGGACTCAACCAGGTTGTATGCACCTAAATGTACGGCTCAGTTCAATTGCTAGTGACCTTATGGATTGATGTTACACCCTAGTTTGGCTGTCCCTAACTTTCTACTAGCCTATTACCACACTAGACAATTACGCGGTGGTTGGGCATGGTGACATGGCTGTATGTATAACGCTTTGCTACTGTTCACTCAAGCGTAACCTTAGCATAAAATAAAAATGAAGAACAACAATCAACTGAACTTACTTAATGCAATTTTGATGAATTGTGGGTAAACGAGAGCTTGTATTATCAGCTGTAGCCATGCGATCAATATCTTGAAATTTCTTCATAGCTGTTACTTTTCCACCATATCGAGATTCACTTTTAGTATCCAACTACGTTGGGGAAAAAAGATAATTCAGATAGGGCCATGAACAACAAATATAAAAATCTATAAAACAAATACAATCCTTGTTTTCACTAGCAATCATCATTCATTTCAAGCCCTCCCGATGAAATCGCTTAATTACCAGTTTACTCTGTCACTTAGGAATCAAATAGTTAAAAATACTACTTACGAGACATAATCCAAGTTCGATGCAAACATTTGATGATATACTCACACGACGAAACCAATTACAATGTTATACTTCTATCTAAGATGTGTATTATTCAATATCTTGTCAACATGCAACTGTATCTAAACTGTAGGCAATCAAACACATTTCCAAGCATTCGATAGAAACTCATTTTACCAAACTACTTTTCTATCTAAACAGTACAAATGTTAATCATGCATGTAATTAGAATAGCTTTTTCTAAAAATTAAGGTAAAGTCATAAATCTCCACCATTTTAATTTTATGAAGTTTATCTAGAGAAAAAGACTGGTTTATTTCTGAAAAAAAGTACTTTATGTAAAAAATACGAGAGGATACTTTTTCGATTAACCTTGATTAGTTTGGAAGAATGACATATAGCGACAATTACGATTCGTATTTGTGTATATGCGCTTATGTGAGATGTCCTACGGCTCAGAGCTTATCTATATTTGATTCAGCATTTACCTAAGGAGTTGAAAGAATCATTACTAATAAAATAAGTTGAGGCCATAAATATAGTTTGTTCTATTTCAAAAAGACATAAAGAACTCAATTTGAAAGGAAATAACAAGAAATACACCAATTTGAGTTGCGGCGCTCCACATTAACACAGAAAGAAGGAATAAAAAGAGGACATACTAAAAGATATAGATGTATATTGAGAACCGAGACACAAATATTGAAATTTTATAAGATGAGGATTGAGTGCGTGACGTGATAATAAGTAATAGTAGCACCGTTAAATTATAAAAGTTTACAGTATTATAACCATTTACTTAGGTTATGCAACCAAACTATATTATGGGTTCGATTTTAAGAGCCGAATAGGTTCGAAAAATTTATATCAAGCAAATTATTCTAATGGATAAATCCTAATCAATTACAATAAAACATGCTTACATTTTGATTACCCAGAAGTACTTATGGAATAAGACCTAGTTGCTATTTCACAAGACTATAAGTGAGATCAACTCCGAATAGTAACAGCAGTACCTATTTATATACATTGACATGGAGCGACTCGGTTTGTATTTAGTAAATGAACAGTGACTACCTACCCTTCCTGATTGAACCAAAATACAACAATGCAATGAAATACGTACGTACATTTTTAAGCAAACCATACATACTACTTAAAAGTAGTTAGTCACTAAAATCATTTAACAACACAGGACTTGGTACAGATGTACACCAGTTCAGTTTGTCATAATACACACTAACGCAATTAGAGGAGATGTACAAAGACTACTACATCTGCAAGAAATAATGCTTGTACATCTGCAACTAACAGAACTAAATCAAAATTTTCCATGAAAAGCACACTATACATAACAGATATATGACAATCGAATCGACGTACCTGGTGAACAAAACTGATCGATTGGTCATTATATCTAAACAGCATAGGACAACAGTCATAACCACCTGCTACAAAAGTTGATGGTCCAATCCAAATACAACTGACGAAAGGTAAGAAATCAGTTCGTAAACGTGTAACAATAGGTGTGGCACTGATACTTGCATCAGCTACAAAAATTGTTGAATTATGCTTAGTCCATGCTAATTTATTTCCATTTGCTGAAAATGAAACGCTCAGAACCCAACCACCTAAAATGTAAACATATAAATATCTTGAAACATATATGGAAAATACGAGTATCAATAACTATGACAAAAGCCAAGAATATTCTTTCGCGTAGTTATAAAAAAGGAAAGGAAGCGACATATATATGGCCTTATTGGGGGTGTTGAATCTCCAAATATAACTTATAAGGGGGGAAATCAATACTGATTTAAGATGAATATAAAGTCAACTTTGAACAAGTTTTTGCTACATTACTTTATGAACTTCAAATGCATTTTCACTATGATTTATGTTCAGTGGCAATTACTCATTTTATATGAACCGGTAAGTGTAACAGAATAATTTAATAAACCTTGAGATATCGATTTAAAGACAGTGTTAAAATTCCAAAAACAATAAAACGATTTGAATTTGTGTACTTAGTAAAAGTAATGGTATGAATACTATAAACTAGTCTATACATCATTTATTTAAAACACGTAAGTTATGGCTCACTATATTTTAAAAAAATGCGCTAAACAAATGAAGTGGTAGTATTGTGAAGAAATAGAGAAGAGAAGGATGGCAGAATCAATAAATAGTTAAAGAGGAATAGTATTTGGTACCGTTCACCTAAGAATGTGGCCAAAAAAGTCTTCTAGTTAACGGAGTTTATCTCATTTTTTTCAAACATTCAGCAGAAAACTACAACACAGCCACTGCTTCCTATTTTAAATTATATCTGATAGCATCAAAAGCCGCGATGGACTAACAAATGTCAGAAATATTTAATGCGAAGACACCATGTCAAAAGCTAATCACTTCCCTACTTTTTTCAAACCAGTTCCAGATTTGCTAAATGATGAACGATGTGGAAATCAATGGGAATGACAATAGTAACACAAGCCCAAGCCATTGAAGTCGGTGTTTCGAGATGGTAATCTGAACTGAATTATCACCACTGGGTTTGAACATAAAGTGATGAACCTTAACGTTACTAACATAGTGTTGACAATGGATATGAGCAATCCTTTTGGAGATAAGAATAGTTAAATGGAGTCGCCAAACGCTAGTTTTCACAAGCATGGAGCAGAAACGCTCTTACCCACATGTTGTAAACCCGGTTATATACAGCCAGACTAATATCACAACGTTGCCAAAGACTTTCCAAATTGGTATAAGCTATTCTAGCTTTCACTATACGTAGATCGGTTTCGTTTGTCATGCTGCCATCCTCCACCGAGATACATGAACTTCCCGACTATTTCAAACGAGTTACCCAAAAAGAATGAATGCGGTACAGATTCATTTCAATCTTTTAAAAGTAATTTGCATTTCAAAGATGCACAGTACATGATGTACTTACGTATAAGGGTATGAGTATGTCGACAGGGACAGATGAGTCTCCACACATTTTGTACATCAAAGTATGCAAACTTGGTGTTACTAGGTAGTAAAAGATACTAACAAAAAGCTAAGTGATACACATATATTATAAAGTTATTGCTGTTAAGATTACCTAACTCATAAAGAAGGAAAATGTATGATGGTATAAAATGTAGAGTAAGTTCACTAAAAATAACGAACAAACATATAGACTTTTAGAGTTTGTCCGACCGTTGTTGCTACCTTGACGTGGTGGTCCGGCTTGCCTATCGTAATGAAGTAACTGAGCTATGCTGGCCGGAAAAACCGTTCCTCAAGCTCCTATCATGCCAGACAGGTCGGTTGAAGAGCGGTAAGACTAAAAGCAACAAATCCAAGGTCCGAAGGCAAAGTCGTACTGCTGATTGTACATGGGTGTGACGACAGTAAGGTGTTTCCTTCAGACAACCAGCATAACAGCGATGCTGCCTTCCCACAAGGAGAGGTGGGGTTAAAAAAGTTCGACCCTAAAAATGCACACCTCGCCTTATCCCACGGATATCCGTCTCCAGCGGTAAGGTCTCTACAAGAACGGAGCTAACACAAAAACTACTCATAAAAGGATCGTGCATGACCGACCTCAAGCAGCTGTCCCTTGGGCACTGCGGTCACGCTCTCAGGTCACTATGACCACCTCTAATCCAATTTGCTTTTCAAGTACCTCCAGAAGAACTCTTCCACGGTGTGGGCAACCGGGAAGTGATAACCGCCCTCACACTTCTAACGGCACTCAAGACTACTGTATTCATAATCAACCTCCCTCTTCAATTCCTATTATTCCTCCTAATTCAACTTTCAAATCCAAGCTTCCTCTTTTGGTTTCCTCCTCAAGTGTCACCATAGCCAACGATTCTAGTGAGTAAAACACTGTCCCAGGTCTACTGAAACCTCACTCCAAACTACACATTGGAGCCTTCAACGTACGCACACTATGTCAAATCGGTCAGCAGGCTTCCTTGGCTGAAACCCTAGAATCTCGTACAATTGATGTACGCTGTGTTTCCGAAACACGCATACAGGATCCTAGCGTGGTCATTCACTTAACCTCACCTCGGTAAAACGGAGAGCCAACGAGATACACCCTCCGTGTATCTGGCGACCCGATGGATAGTTCTCGTGGACTGGCAGGTGTAGTCATAGCACTAAGCATGAGGGCGGAACAAGCGCTATTAGAGTGGGTCCCTGTTAACAGTCGTCTATGCGCTGCTCGGCTAAACGGCTCCATAAGAACTCGGAATGATAGGGACACACGTCGATGCCCTTTCGTCGTTTCTGCCTACGCTCCCACTGACTGCAGCTCGGATAATTGAAAGTTGGGAGTGACCAAACCAAAACGTGGCATCATTGCTTGAAGTCACTAACTTCTGGTCTGAGCCATGTTGGTAGATGCAGACTGCCTGGTTGGGGTCCGCGTGACTATCGTAACCAATGGTTGGAGACTCTTGGTGACATGGCTCAGAATCGATCACAATGGCGTCGGTGTATACACTCTCTGTCTTCCTTTAAACTAAGAGATTAAAATCACTTCAAATCTTTCTTTCTAGGAACTAATTCTATCTTCTTGTACTATATCCTTATACACACTCTTTCTTCTATATATTACCACCACTGAATTAACTACTTCTATGAACCTGGTGTTCATCTTGTTGTGCTAATGCGGTATGGCAACTTGGACCGTTGCATATATGTGCCTGGTCCTACGTTGCAGCTGACTGACTGACTTTTAGAGTTTGTGATTTTGGCTTATTTGTACTGAACAATTAATAAATATCTCAGCTTGGTAAGAGAAAGCAGATAAACAATTAACGATAAGATCAATAAAAACTATGTTACAAAGTGTAACAATTTGGTGCCATTTACCTTTCTAAAAAATTTTATACTTAAATAACAATTCCTTCATTTAACTCGAAAAGAATGAACAGTTTCTTACCGAATTTCACCTAACAATGTATAGTTTCGTATGAGTTTGAGAGGGTCGAAACATAGCTTAATACTTCTCTATTATTTTTAAGCACATATCTAACCAAAGATCAAAACTTTGGGAAATAAACAGATTACCGTAGTAATTATCCGGACAACTTCGCGCAACATGATCATCACGATAAGTATCACACAATAACACACAACATCAAGATTATAAAGCTTAAAATAAGGAATAGTAGTGTTGATTAAAAACTGGTAAACGAAACAAGATAAGTTTGAAGTCTTCATTCTCATTTAACGGTATTGACAGAAAATGAATGCGCGTCTAGAGCTAACCTCAATTTGATTTTACTGCCTACTTTGCTGTGATTTCTGAGTTGGTATGGAGAAGCATGAGATAACCCCGATAGTTAGATATTAATTGCACTGTAGAGTGAATGACTTATATTTTTTCATATTTTCCAATTATTTACTTATTAAATGGCTCTTAAGTACATTTATTCTTTACTTTAATATACCGTATATGTGTTATCTTGTGAAGTCTTTGGGTTATAACTGTAGTGACAATGTTAATTTATATGTTTCAGTCCGATTTATGACAGTAGTGACGGTTACTTCAGAAATAATTTTGACTGATCCAGATTACAAGTTGATATCTGAACAGGATACGACACCGACAGCTGTGACAGAGAGATTACGTGCTATAACACTGAATCAGATTGCCGAGTCCTGAACTACATAGGCAACAGAACAAATCGCTAATAAATCTCTGATTTTCTTGTTAATACTCCAGGTACCACAGAACATGAAAAGGACTCAAACTTAATGTTGCCACACCGGCCAAGTGAACACAATCTTAAAGAGACAGTAAAGAAATTGTACCAGATGTTTAGAAACTAGTCTTTACTCTGCATATGAAATAGTAGTAGTGTTGATAAAATGGCAAACTGAACACCTTTTCACCTACGCAGGCTAATGATAATGCGAACGCTTCAGATTAAAACAAACTATGACCGATCCAAGTGTTTCATTTTTGTCTGTGGTATAAAACCTTCAAGAGATGAAGATACCCACAAGTTTGAAATTAACTAAGACCTCTTGATAACGTTAGAGTTAGTTAATATGGAATGTTAACGACTGACAAGCCCCAAAACATTACACATTGATGCTGTAGTAACCGAGACAATCCAGTACAGTGTACATGATTACAAATTCAAAGCATTTACCCAGCTAACCCCTATAAACCAACACCAGGAAAACACCTTCATAAACACGTTGTGACAGTGACGAATGTCGCTTGAGCAAGAAACATTGTTCCAAACAATGCAATTGATTTTAAAAACAGATGAGTATCGCGTATAACGTCCTATCACCATCAGATCTATAGAGAAACGTAGAAAGTCCTCCCAGCCTAAACCTCACATGCATTCAAAAAACCTGTTCATAAAATTCGTGGACGATCGTGATGGTTACAAATTAGCGGATACACAACACGTCTGTAGCTAAATACTGCGTCCGAGACTATAACCATATTGACCAAATTATACAGACACATACCCATGCTATAACTTAAGAAAACACAGACTAGTGAATTGCGGTAAAGTATTGTTGTTACTTTGTAATATTTTGTACCAAGGTAAAACCATCCCTAAATTATGCTACACTGTTAAAGAAAACTTAAATGTACTCAAGATTG